CCGGCCCACCTGATGGTGAGTAGTTATCGGCACTCATGGACACCAGTAATACCAGGGGCAGAGCCAAGCCGCTGCCTACCGCATGTATGCATTGTTTGCATATTACCTGGTAATTACCTTCTATGTAAATTCGCTATATAAAATTCTTATTGACACTTTAAAAGAATTTTTAGTTTATTTACGTACATATCGTCTTTTCGCATTAAAAGTGTAAAATTTCCAAAAATATTCGAAATTGAGTTAATATGCGGAATCATTTGGTATCACCAGTATTTTTCTCGTACATACTGTCAAAAGAGCGTAGTTTAGTTTTAGTTTTTTTTTAGTTTACCTATATTTTGACTACTATTAACAAAATTAATACATAATTTTATCTTACTTTAAAAGACAGATAATGTAACTGGTAAAAACTAAAAAAGAAATGTTGCAAAGATGATTAATATTAAAAATATCACATGTTAAACCTTTAAAATGCTCTCCTGTAAAATTTAGTAAGTTTTGAGATTATACAGTTTTAATGCGAGAAGACGATATATGTATTTATTTATCTATTAACACTGTTACAACGAATCATCGCTGACACTAAATTTAGGATAAACAAAATATTTGTTACCTAATAAATGAGCTTATATATGATTCTGCTCCGGATATTCGATGTGTTTCAATAAAGGAACGATTTAAAATTTTGCCTCGCGGGCTTGCATCGCAAATTTGGTACCTGCTTAGAAATTATACGGTCAGATTTTACCTCCGAGTTTGGACACGTTTTCAACCAAATTAAATATTAATATGAAAGTGAGTATGTGTAAATTTTTTTTACTCAACCACTCAAAAATGATTGAATGGATTTCGATGAAAAAATCACAAATATGTTGTAGTTTATAGTTTGGATTAAAACACAGCGTACTTTTCAACACGACCCGGTCGGATATATCTGCTACAATAAATACGACAGTGTGTTTGCTGCTTCGTGATTTTATGTACCAAAAAAATTTACAAATCGACCGATAGCTTATGAACCAGATAGTGGACACATGCGACTCTTTATTTCGAGAAAATGAAACGTACATATTACGTAACGCACGCAATTACCGCTGTACACATTGAGCGTTCGATAAATGAAATTTTTATTCTTCTAATTCTTGAACTTTAATGGAATTAATAACTTGCCTATACGCACATCGATATATTTAGGCATCAACGGATCGGCAGCCTTGAACAGACGGGGTATCACCGTCAACAGTGATTTCTTCTTGTAATCGGCGAGTTTTGAATTCCGAATGAGTTTCATATTCAATTATAATGACAGGTACATGACTGCTTTGAAATTATAGGGCCAAGTTGATACGTTCAGCCCGACTAAACGCATTGCGAGATAACGATACGAAATAAGAGTGAGGGGATTTTTTTTATACTGTAGAGTTCCGTATCTTTTTTGGAACGCACAATCATAGTTCATTCATGTTAAGATTGGCTGTAATTAATTCAATTTGAATTTTATTCTATGATGTGACTACCACTTTCCTTTGGTTTGCACAATATTTTTATTCCTTTTCGGATCACAGCCTCTTGAAGTATGAGCCATAATTGCCGTTTAACTTAACAAAAATGATACTATAAAATATAATTTCCAATCGCTTGCGTGCACTGTATATTTAAAAGAGTTGTAAACTTGAATTTCATGTTTGAAGTTCATACTAAAGATTATAGTATTCAAATAAAAAAAAGGAAATGCCGTACAGAGATCCGGAAATTCACGGAAAAACTAGTGTTTAGCGAAAACGGAAGCTTCAAGACTGCACAAAGATACATCCTATCTTATAGCGTGAAACCAAAGTATTTTATACGGGATGTCCAACCTTAAAACTGACACGCATGAGTGCTTCTTGGCAGAAAAAGAAAGAACATTGATACCCGCTTGTGTGGTTTAGTATGCTATGCCATGATTACCTGACGCGATATTATTTTTATTGCAACGAGTATGTAGTTTAGTTTGAAGCCCATATAGCATTAAATGGCCACCAAAACCCATAGATATCACAACCTGAACGCCAACACCTACCTTGAGGTATGAAGTTGAAATATCCTTTGTATTATACGACCTCACCCTTCAAATCAGAATGCCTGACTATCACGCTCGATAGAACAGTACCGGCTAGTTCCTCTTGGTTCCTAATTTATACCAAAAGTACCAAAGACAGAAATTACGTGGATAGTTAAATAAGAAAATAAATATATAAAAATAATATAAATATACCACTGATTAACTATTCGGTTTGAAGGGTGGGGCAGCCGTTGTGACTATACTGAGTCCTTAGAACCTTAGAACTATATCTCAAGGTGTGTGGCGCATTTACGTTGTAGATGTCTATGGGCTCCAGTAACCACTTAACACCAGGTGGGCTGTGAGCTCGTCCACACATCTAAGCAATAAAAAAAAAAGTTACAAGATAGCATGTAGTCATAGCTATTGAAAGAGTTTTTTTTTTTACATTGTCCTACTGATTTCTCTATATGTGGGTTAAATATGTACTAGGAATTTCGACAGTATTTCTACTTTTGTACAGTAATAAAGTAAAGTAATCTGCTATATGTAATTGATATTTTTCAATTTCAAGTTTAGAAGAATCGCAATGTGTAAAAGCCTCTACAGAACGAATGTGCACCAAGTAAGAAGAAAAAGATTTAAGTCGCCGTTTGAAGGGTCATAATAATTGTCGTATGATTGAAAATGAAAATTATTCCACCAAATAATTTTTCTTGTTTTTATTTTGTTCCATTTAAAAACCGCTTGTAACAAATTTACAAAAAAGAAGTCCACGGCCCTGTAATTTAAGTCCTCAATTATATAGCAGTAAGATCGGGAGCATGTGATTGCAATTTCGAGCTTGAACTTATACCGTATTTATCGTTTGCTTCACTAAATTAGTTACATTTACAGCTCCACAATTTTTTCTTTTTTGTATATTTATAGGAATTTATACCAAATTACCTATGTTTTAGGTATTTATACCAAATTACCTATGTTTTAGGTATTGATACCAAAAAAGGTTTACTTTACAGGTATTACAAATTAGCAAACTGTCCAAATGAACAGCAGGGACCGTTCACGGACAAGCCCGAACTTTTCATACATGCCACGTCCAACAAGCGTCCTTGTATTGTTTCGCGGCCTGTGTTGCGTGAACCCACAGTGAATTATAGCCGACAGTTCGACTTCTCATTTTATTTTGTTATTTTTTAGGCCCTGTTACTTAATTTTTATCAAGTCGCATGAATTATGACGAGGCGGGACCACACGCGTAGCATTAATTACTCGTCGCCGGCCCAGGTGAACTAATCGATTCAATCGAAATTCGAATAGGACTTCTTTTCCAGAAAAACTACTACGAATGAGAGAGAATCGATTCTTATAAGACTTAAATTCTAATCTATGCTAACTAATATGCCGTATTAGATATTTTGTAAAACATTTTTAAAGCGTTATTTTATCTTTTAAGTGCATGAATTGAATGTTTACCGAAACGTATGTTTGAAGATTGAGGCGGTCTTAATGGGATGGTCATTTGTCGAATGGTCAGTGGCAGTAAGTTAATAATAATGCGCCCAAAACTAGACCGGGCCATTGACCCGGGCGGGCGGCGCGGGCGCACCTCTCCTGCCTCGTTGGGCCACTAAAATAGCGCTTTTTGCTTTACTTGATGCCTACACAATCAATTTAGAACCTGAAAAATTTAATCTTAAAGTATGTGTTAAGTATTGAAGGATTGTTAAACGTTTTATTTATTTTTAGATAGTAATAAAAATAAATATACAACTTTTAATAATATATAACTTTTATTTTATTTCTTAGCTTTATTAATATATTTATAAAATTAATTTAAATTGTTATAGGTCAGAAAAAGAGTGCACAAGTAAATATCGACAAAATATTTGTCTCTTTATTTTACATTCTCTCGAAATATTTTAGTGTTTTGTCGTCCGGTAAAAAAAGTAGGTATAATATGTTCTGCTAAATCTCTGTAAAGTCCAGTCCAAGATTAAATCGTATTTTAATTCACAAGCCTTGTTAGTTTTGTTCCAAAAAAAAATGAAGACACGAGAACTTTATTTAAAATAATCCAGTTCCATAGATCTATAAATTATATACCAGTTCCATTGCTACGAGCCATCAACATTCAGGAAGTCTACACCAAAGATTTTATGATCAAATCACTGATATCAATTTATCGTTACAAATTAGTAATTTGGAGGATCCTGAGTTTTGTCCGCAATAAAATTATTAATGGTACTCAAATCTGTCTCACTAATAAGGTGTTAACGAGGGTCGTTCGTTTTATGTGCTTTTTATTGACACTTGATTTGTCGGCTACCTGCCGCTTAGTATTGGACTCTTAGGAAACATTAATGGACGATTTTGAAGTGGCCCGATTATGTGTGCCAAACAGGATGGCAGCATTTTAGTGATTTTTACGGGGTATCGGACGTGACATATTTTTGTTACGCCTCTCATTTCCACTTATGTATATTAAAGGTTGACGAGTTTTTTATGGGAAACGCAATATATTTTTAAATATAGAATCATAAATTTCAGTGATATTTGTAAACAAATATGTAATATACAATATTAATAGGTAGAGACTTCGGCAATTAATTTTATCAAAAAAAAGCTGCACCTACGATCGCAATAATACACTTCAATCGAATATGCAATTTCGAAAAGGGCACATGTCGCATATTTTGTCAAATACGTTTTTTCATATACATGTAGTTTTGAGGCTTACCTACACCTATTTTATAATAATTCCAGTAATTTTCAATTGCTAATTAACACTAAAATATATCTCAAAAGTTAATATTTTAAATTTTAAACTGCTTTAGAAAATAATCAGTTTTTTTCATTTCCTGAACATTTTACATTTTCAGAGATGTGCCCTTTTTCGAAATTGCATATTCAATTAATATAGAGTTGTGATCGAGATAATTTTATTTTTAACTTACTAACCTGCTATGGCCATCCAAGGGTAGAAAGTATGATTAGTAGGCTGTTGGTGCACTGGCTGCGCGGCTGATGCTGCTGATCCCGGAAGCGCACACTGGTTGCCCCACGGAAGTGCTCTACCAGGACTTGACGACTCGCTGTATCGAGCTTCAGGAGTGCATGCTGCCGGCCTCACTAGTGCTCCCAGACCTGAGCCCCAGGCTTCTTTACCACCATAGCCATTCTGCTGCTCACCGCCTGGCTTTGAACAATCTGCCTTAGGATATTGCTGCTCTCCAGCATAGAGCTTGCAGGCCGCCGCGACAGACGCGTCGTACGGTGAATCCTGAGGACGAGGCTGGTGTAAAGCGTGTGGCTGTGCATACGTGAGGCCCAGAGGGAAGCCGCGGTACTGGTCTCCACCACCGCCGCCCTGGTGCACTCCATGGGCCCCGTAAAAACCACCCTGCTCGAAGTAAGAGTTCATCGTGACCAGTCACAGGCACTAACGTCACTCAGGGAACACTTATGTCATCGCGGCCCCGCGCGCCGTGATAACGCGACCTCCGCCAATGTCACACCAAATACGGACAACGTAATTTATTTTTATTAATTTTATTGCCTCTTAAACGTCACTAAAGCGTCATAATGGGCTTCGTCGGCGATAAAGGCCAGTTGACGTGTGTTTACTTTTTACGATTATTTTACGACTCGGGAGCGCGTGCCGCGGGTTTTACGACTTTTTAAGCGGTTTCGTCTGCGGCGCCGGCTCGTCTCAGGACGTCAGCCGAGAGCGCGTCTCCACTGTATGAAATCAGAAGTGATCGTGGTGGTGTATGGGCCGGAGGCTTGTGTCGCGAGCGAAGTTTTCGGTCGCGTGTGGCGGGAGCGCGCGGCTGTGTGTCGTGTGCGACCGGCGCGACGCGGCTCACGCAATGTACTGAGCGCGGCTGAGACACGCGCGCCGCCCCGCGCTCACTGCTACCATCGCAGCCCAACGACTATTGTTCCGTCCCCTTTTCGCTAATCACTATAAATATTATCAGTTACGCTCTCTTTTCCTTTCCTTATCACACCCACTCGAGCACGTGGCGAACGTTCGTCAAACAAACTAGAACTTTAGCTGCTCTACTTCAGAATACTTAGGTTAATAACTGACATTTATATAACTTAAGAGAGAACTCAATAACATCAAATCCTATTATAAACTATATGTTTTCTTTTAACAATTTATGTATCTTCGGACGACCGCGTAACAAAACTTTTGAAGAGCCTCAACAAAAGCCTCAAAAATGAATAGAACGAAAAAGTTAAGCCGCAAAAGTCGTAAACTCATAAACGTACAATTAGTGAAACGGGCGAGTAAAGAAAAGATTTTACAGCCACTCGTCGACCGTGCCACAATGAGCGTTCAGTATCGTAACAAGGTGCTGAATAGAGTGAGAAGTCGTAAAGATGATTATTATTTCTTCTACTACCTGTTTTTACGAGTGATGTTTCTATTGCTCTCTTGCTTAAGGCGACCGCTCGAGAGCGAAAGGGACAGCGCGTCGAGCGCGGAACGGTTATCATCCGAGCGGGGCTGATTAGTGTATAGCGGTCTTGGTCTCGCGCTGTGTAGCGCATGCAGTGGACAACGCACTATCGGAGGGTAAACAATAGCGCATTATCGCGAGTTCACTTCGCGCGACCAAATGAAGTCGTCAAACGAATGAATGGTGCGCCCTACCCTTAAGAATTGAACGCATTTTTATTGCGCCTTCGTATGTAAATATTTCCTTTAGATCCGGGTATTGAGACGTTTTTTTATTTATTTATTAAAAATGATATATGTAAAGTGACAAGTTTAATACTTAACAGATAATGGTGGTTTACGTTTCATGAATTAAATTTTTAAAATTTAAATATTTTTTTTATGATTTTTTAAAACTTAGCTTCATCTAATTCAGGTTTTTGATAATTTGCAAAATAACTAATTGAACCAGTACCAAATCACGACTCCAAACTACAAATTAAGTACGATTTGTGCAAACATTGCAAAAAAAATTAATAAAATATAATAATTTGATTATAATATATTAATGGAACAATACAAAATTGCCCATGATCCAGAACTCGCATAACACAAAACGATTTTGACAAGTGTTTTAAAAGCATACCTAAATGACAATTCTCTATTTATATTATTAACTTTTCATATTGTAAATTGGCAGACATGTCCACTTTACATTGGTTACTGGAGCCCATGGTCATCACAGCACGAAAGCGGTCATTCACCTTGAGATCGGTGTCTCAACTATATTGTATAATAACAGCAATTTTAAATCAAAACGAAGCGCAGAATTTGATAGACTTGCGCTACGTACCTGTGTGGGCTCACTAGGCTCTACAATTCGTGAAGATTATTCAAATATTACTTGAACTCTTATATGTACGTTAAAGCCGAATAAACTAGTACCAACCGAATTTTTAAGACACGACTCTGTAATTGTTTGTTCTAGATACGTTAAAAGCAAGATTCGTCAGGAAGGAAGAGAGCAGTATAGAGAGCTCTAGCTTGAAGGCTTCCAATGCAGTAAGAAATTAATCAGTTTCTTCATCACACAAACCCGTAAACGAGCTTAGGTCCACCTGGTAGTAATTGGTACAATGGCATGACACATACGGTGTAAATTTCGACTGTACTGTTTTTCGCAACCACAATACGCAAGTTATTATTGTCTAGTAACTTACAAGCTCGTACCTATTAAAGTTCACATACCACTTAATACCAGGGGGCTGTGAGTTCGTCCACTCATCTAAATAATAATAAAAAATAAAAATAAACATATCCAACTGTTCTCCTGAATTTAACAATCGTTTAGTTGACAATTATAGCTATAACGGATATTCATAAAGATTGCTAGTATCTAGTTAAAAATGTGTTGTAATCATAACGCCCATAATCAGAATATCAAAAATTTACAACTAAAAACATTTGAATACTGCTAAATAAACTGCAAAATTATGCAATGAACTGTCATCGGCACGCAATCACATCAGAGTAATTAACAGAGGTAGCGGTCTCATCTTAAAAAAATATACTAGAACGTCATTGACGGTAACCACTGTCATATAAGCCTCCAGCATATCGCTCGTCAGCGGAATGAAAAAAGACTTAGTTTAATCTGATGATAAAACTAAAATAGGTATTTTCCTACCTATGCTGATAGTCTTGAGATGCTATTTCAGCTTCTCCGGCGAGAAACTCAGTGGGCTTTGTCTATGGGTTAATTCGCTCGTCGAGCCCTTCGTCGCAAGCGGCGGATTCGACGAGGATGGTGAGCGGTGCTTATGATACCTAAGAATAGGTAAGTTGTTTGTATTTGAACAGCCAGAACCGTCGGTTTTATCATTTAACTAGGATGTTCTCCGGTCAGAAAATCGGTGAAAATTTTGACATTGCACATGTACTTGCTGTGCTGTGTCGTCTGTGTGCTGACGGTGTAAGAACACCATGTGTCACCACCCCTATACTATCCCAGGGAGTCGTAAGAACCGACTAAGGGAATATGCACAAGACATGAGTGCAAGAGAATGAAAACTAATATGTGTACCTAAGTATTAAAAATCAAACCCGCAAAATTCTAATTTGCGTAATTACTGGTGGTAGGACCTCTTGTGGGTCCGCACGGGTAGGTACCACCGTCCGGCTTATTTCTGCCGTGAAGCAGTAATGCGTTTTGGTTTGAACGGTGAGGCAGCCGTTGTAACTATACTTGAGACCTTAGAACTTATATCTCAGGGTGGATGGCGCATTTACGTTGTAGATGTCTATCGGCTCCTATAACCATTTAACACCAGGTGGGCTGTGAGCTCGTCCACCCATATAAGCAATAAAAATAAAATAAAACTCGAAATCACACCCTGTACCTACCCGCCTAGCTAGCGTGGTACAGTAGGCTAAACCCCTCTATGGATCACTTGGAGAGGGCTATGTTTAGCAGTGGACGGTGGGCAGCCTGAAATGATCTACTTGCTATACTTACACAAATTAATATAACATTTTCTAAGTTTTTCGAGAGTCGTAAGATTAAAGCTACTTTCACGGTTCGATCTTGCCTTTATTATTTTAATTTTATTACTTTTGTAGTTTCGAACGATTTAGTGTTTTTGTGATTCACGGACGAATGTAAATTATTTAAAGTGAATTCGTGAATTGTTCGGCCAGACTGAACGGCACTAAATCTGCTAGACTGTTAGCTCACAGCCCACCTGGTGCTAAGTGGTTACTGGAGCCCATAGACATCCACAACGCAAATGCGCCACCCACCCTAAGATATAAGTTCTAAGGTCTCAAGAATAGTAACAACGGTTGCCCCACCCTTCAAACCGAAACGCATTACTGCTTTACGGCAGAAATAGGTAGGGTGGTAGCACCCACCCGCGCGGACTCACAAGAGGTCCTACCACCAGTAAGATTGATCGGACTGTACTTAGTATAATGCAGCAGAATAACCGCCAACAAAGTTATAAGACATGATTTCATGTGTGTAACATCTTTCGGCCAATGCGTAATTTTATGTTTAAAACTCAATTCACGTCTTTGACGACAACTAGGTATGCCTTTTTGATTGGTAAAGCGCCTTATGGGGTACTAATATGCTCATAGTCACGAAGTAGCCATAGCCTCCGGCTTAAGCATGAGACATCATTTAGACCCGATTGTCTCAAGGTTGGCAGTAGCCCACTAGTTGGGCCGTGAATCCATTTGGCCAACTAAAACAATAAACAAAATGGAAATCGAATAAGAAAATAAATAATCTTCTATTAAATCAGACCTAATTGGAAATTCCGTCTAAATAGAAAATTGTTGGTCTGATGATCGAAAATGATAAAATATATTTGTATAAGTAGTCTCATAGACATATAAAATACACTATACAAAAATATTGAAGCCCACGAGCTTCGATATATTTATATATAGGTAATTACATTTTTTGTTTATTTGTTATTTATACAAAAACAATAATTTATTATTGATGATTTAATTTTATCGTCATTTTATATTTTCTTTTAGCCCATCATTCGAAAAGTCATCATTAACACAGGAAGGACATTGTGATACCTGGACAGCTTTTCGAAGATTAACTATTTTCATGTACAAAAACATAGATTTAATAAACCTTTTCTGTTTACTTATTATGACATTGTGAGCTTTGATCCTAAAGCTTTGATGCGATCCGTCACGAGATTCGCCATACTAACAATCCAAAAAGTTGTTTTATTGCGTCACGACTACAAACAGTACGTCAACAATACGCTAAAACGATTCCGGCTTCCTTATCGCGACAATGTAACTATAAAAAAAGATGGTAATATGCAAGTGTGCGGTCTCATTCAGATTCAAGCGGCAAATGTGATGAGTTTCGCATGGCGGGCGGCGCTTGCGCATGGCACGCGTCCGCGTTCATCGTAAACATAATTTTTACTACCACTCGAACGATC